GCAATCTGGGACCACTTGGAGGATGTCCACCTGCTGGCTTAGGCCCGCTCCCTGGGGGATTGGGCCCAAGCTGGCAGTCAGACATCCCTCTGGCAGCCTAGCAGCCCTCGGGGGATGTCCACTTATCAACAGGGAGCAGACCTAAGCTGCAGTTGGACATCCTTATTGCTGCTGAGGAGGCCGGAGAGCCTCCACCACCACCGTTGTGCTGGCAGCATTCAGCGTGGCTTGTGGCTAAGCAGAGCTCCCCCTGTGGGAGCGCACTGACCACCAGGGGACAGCTCCTGCATTGAGTATCTGTCCCCTGGTGGTCAGTGTGTGTCATAGTGACCAGTCATTCCCAGTCGTTCTGCTGTTAGGGTCAATTTGCTTATTACCCTTTTATTATATAGGATAGAGGCCTGGTGCATGGGTGGGGGCCAGCTGGTTTGCCCTGCATGGTGTCCCGGATCAGAGTGGGGGTTCCGCTGGGGTGCCTGGCCAGCCTGGGTAAGGGGCTGGTGGCTGTTTGCAGCTGGTCACACCCCCTTCAGGGTGGGGGTCCCCACTGGGGTGCCTGGCCAGCCTAGGTGAGGGGCTGATGGCTGTTTTCAGGCTGGCCACACCCCCTTTAGGGTTGGGGGTCCCCACTGGAGTGCCTGGCCAGTCTGGGTGAGGGGCTGAGGGCCGTTTTCAGGGGGCCAAGCACCCCGGCGACGGAAGCTCCCAGCCTCTTTTTTCTTTTTTTTTTATTCTGGGATTTATTTACCTTCTATAATTGAAACTTTGTAGCCTTAGGTGGAGCTCAGAGCTGGCCGCAGCAGGGGGGAAGCTTGGCTTCCTCCATCACTGGAGCTTCCTCCTCTTGCTCCAGCTCCATGACTGCCGGCCGCCATCTTGGTTGGGTTAATTTGCATATAGCCGCTCTGATTGGCTGGTGGGCGTGGCTTAAGGCATAGGAAAGGTATGGTCAATATGCATGTTTGTCTTTTATTAGTGTAGATTATTCAAATAAAAGAATTCTGTGGTTCAGATTTTAAAACACTACATTTCTTTCCCATAGGACTACTCAGAGCCTTTAAAAGACTAATAATAGGAATTTAGAGACCTCAAAAGAGGAAACTTCATGCAGTATTTCCCTGCTTTTGTAACCATGAATGGACTAACATTTTATGAAATACAGTTTGATAAATTCTGTACTGGGGTTGATGATAAATCTATAATATAAACAGGAAAACATGAGATGGCTTCCTATGAGTCAAGCCTTATTATAATAAATACCCATACAATGAACACTAGAGCATTTTAAAACATTGATAATTTCGAAACAGAGATAAGCTTCAAAGAGTGTTTGATATAAGAAAATCATTTAAAATAAAAAAATTAAAATTTTTCTTAATTTGGCCCTGATATACTATGATTTATTTCTACCTTAGCATGATGGAGGAATGAGTGCAAGAAGAATAAGTAAAAAAGGAGTGGGGGGAAAGAAGAAAATCATTTACAAAATTGATTTCTTAGCTACATCAAGAAATTTCAACTGAATTGGACTCCTACACGATACGAAATGTTTTTCAGAGGGTTTAATTACAGTATTCTAAATGATTAAAGATCATAAATGACAGAATATGTAGAATTGAACAAGATTAAAAATATAGACAGCCTTTGCGAAAAATCCTCCTGAGAAAACTATTGTAAAAAAATATACAGATGGTGTAGCCTGGGTTACTACAGAGGCAATGATAAAATAAACAGGAGCAAAAGTGAATTAAGTTACCTTCTCCCTTGAGTAAAGAGTTATTCTACTCCAATTCCCAGCACGTCTCAATTGTTCAAATTAAATATATGCTTACTCACTAACTCACACAGTGAAGCCTGTCATGCTGGCATGTAAATGTCCATATTCACAGTGAAAACCAGGTAAACACCTCAGTATTATCAAATTATAATGACTGCACATTTTCATAAACGATGACACATCTCTGTGAGGGCAATCATCACCTCTTGAGTGAGACCCGTGCATTATGGCTACTCAGCATGGGGATGCTGGTGACAGGAACATCAGTGGACCACCAATGACTAAGCATGGACAGACTGGGCCATGGACTGAGTGCTTGAAAGCTCATGATAAAGATCGGCATCCCCATCTTCTGGGAGTATCATCAGCAAAAAGCATTTATTATCACACAGAAGTAGGAATTTGTGCCCCAAGTCAGGGACCAGACACTAACTGGCTATTAATTCAGTGTGGTGGAAGAATATGGAATAATCTTTCCTAACACACATAGAAGTATACCAAATAAAAAGAGGGGATATAAAGAACCTAAAATGAATATTAGAAACAAAAATTGTATATAGTAAAATGTCAGCACTACAAAATGAAAAAAGAAAGTGGAATGGCTTTTGCTGAAAAATCTTTTACTATATTTGAGAAAAATATTCACAGTCCTCTAGCTATTAAAATTTTGACTCTAGGTCATGGCAACACAATGTAAATATGAAAATGATGTTGCAGAATCTTAGTAAAAAATTATACTTGTTAGGAAGAAAAGGTTTCTAAAGATGTATCAATCTTTCTCTTGACCAAGGGTGCACATTTATGGCATGACTAGCTGCAGTTGAGATACAATCTGAGCTCATACAGACCAGATCAAAGCTAACTGGACTCTGTGGAAAATGAACTCATGATCTAGACTTCATCAGTCATGATCTAACCAACTGAGCTAATGAACCATATAAAATACATGTTGGCATGAGATATTTACTTTGAATCATTTCTGTGCTTAAATGGGTCATACAATTTTAGTCAACTTTAGAGATGCTGCTTTCCCAAGGTTTTGTGAATAAATTGACTCACTGGTCACACACATTTACCTATTATGTAGAAAGTCAGTGGTGAGGTAGTTTAAAAATACACAAGGCAATATGCAGAATTTAGAGTCTATATAGGAGAGAAAAATGTAATAGAAAATAACTATAGTGCAAAATTTAACAGCAATAATTGATGTTTATTGAGTATTCACTATTTCTCAGATATTACACAAAGCACTTCTGATAAGCTAACTATATACATCTCATAGAGAAAAAAGTGAAGCAGGTTGTGTAACTTTCACAAAGTCACACTCTAGTAATCTCTCACTCTGCCTTGGACTAATGATAAATGACTGTGATAGATATTGCAGAGCTAACTCCCAACACTCATTCCAACTACCCTTTTCCCTTGCCACCTTCTCGCATATGGACACGAAAGCTACAACTCTTATTCCCAGATTGCTGGCTGCTAACGATTATGAGATGACACAGTTATGGCCAATGAAATGAAAGCAAAAGGGAGCTAGGAGTTCTTGGAAAAGCTTCTTTCTCTCCCCACAACCCCTTTCTCCCTCTTCCTCGCCCTATCTTTCCATATATATAATGTGATATATGATATTATGTGATATATATTATATGTAATATATATATACTCTAGACCAGTGGTTCTCAACCTTGGCTGCACATTAGAATCACCTGGGAATCCTTTTAAAATCCTGATTTCTGGGCCTTATCCTCTGGAAATTCTGTTTCTTTGTTATGGGGTGGGGCCACAACATTAGTAACAAAGAAACAGAATTTCTGGAGGATGAGGCCCAGAAATCAGGATTTTAAAAAGATTCCCAGGTGATTCTATTGTGCAGCCAAGGTTGAGAACCACTGCTCTAGACAGAAGAGAAAAGGTGAAAAAAGATGTTTTCTTTTTATAAAGCAAACATTATCTTCATTTAATAAACTCTGATATTTAAAATACAAGTCAAACATCTACATTAATAAGAGTCCTCAGTTGTCAGGAGTGCTTCAGAGGCTGATTTTTCTAAGGACCAGACAGGAGGGCCTGTATGTATAATAACAGCAAAAGATCTCAGAGTGTGTGCAAACACAGAAGGGAGGCAGTTGGGTCCTGAGCAAATGACACTACACAGTGCACTTGTCTCATGGCCGAAGACAATGCTTTTTTATTTCAGATGAATATCAAATAGTTTACTTATACAAAATAGTAATTTAAAAAAACTCACTCCTAGTAGTTCAGTGTTGTAGAAATTAGATATTCATATTTCAAATATATGTTTTCCTCATAAAAAAAAGAGCAAAAAAAAATATTCCTGGAAACATTCCCCTTTGAACTATGCAAGAGACAACTGAAGTCCTACATTAATCAAGAATTTCCATATATATTTCATTATATTTGGATTTTGTGTACCATATATATACACACAGTCCAATTATACATATACTGTGTGTGTGTGTGTGTGTGTGTGTGTGTGTGTGTGTGTGTGTGTGTGTATCCGGCCAACTGGCTGACTGGGCAGTAGCTATGATGTACACCGACTACCAGGAGACAGATGCTCAACACAGGAGTGGAAACCACAGGCATGGAAACATGGAACAGACTGATTAATCTCAGAGGGAAATGGGGGGTGGGAAGAGATTAACCAAAGATCTTATATGCATACTAGAGGCCCAGTGCATGGATTCGTGCACCGGTGGGGTCCCTCGGCCTGGCCTGCACCCTCTCGCAATCCAGAACCCCTCGGGATGTTGGATAGACAATTTCAGCCTGACCCCTGGAGGCCTGATCCAGACAGGAGGGAGCCTGATCCCCGCAGGCCCAATCCCCGCAGGCTGGACCCGGACAGGAGGGACCCTGATCCCTACAGGCCCGATCCAGATAGGAGGGAGCCTGATCCTGTGCATTGAGAGTCTGTCCCCTGGTGGTTAGTGCACGTCATAGCGACTGGTCGACGGGTCATTCGGTCACTTAGGCTTTTATATATATATATAGAGAGATAATATAAAATCCCGTTCTACACTGTGCAAATCCCTAACACTATGTGGTGCAAATATAAAATAAGCTTTATTGGAGAAAATCTTACAGGCTGACATATAGCAGAGGGAGCACAGCTGGACTGGATACACCATGGTAATTGCTCTGTAGAAGATCTCTGGCCTCAAATGGGAGAATTAAAAAGACTCCCACATGAACTTACATTGCTCCATTGGTATAGACAGTATCGCTTCCTTCCACATACTGCACCTGAGCTGGGTAGACATGCTGTACCTGTTGCACAGTCTGTACCTGCTGTACCTGAAAAACAAATATTAGGACCTTGGTGAGTGATAGATATGAGAAAATGCACTACATTAGATTTATCTCAAATATTTTTCTAGGTTGGTGATCAATGTGAGAATGGCTTAGGATGTGATCTGTAACATCCTTCAAAGACAAGTGAATGTTGGTTGGGCCCAGATCAACTGCAGCAATAAGGCTGAAAAAATTCTATAACATTCCTATAGGTATATAGGTATATACACACTTCAAATATTTAGGGTGAAAATTCTGAAAGCTTCTCACTATTTTGAAAATTTAGGACTTCTCTTCCCCTGGGTTTTTAAAGCTAAATTTATTTTTTAATTAAAAAACTCATGATGGAAAATTTCAAACACTTAAATATAGAATAAATATTACAACAAAACTCATTTATTCATCATTTTATATAAATGTCTGTCACAGGACCTCATCTTTCAACCTCTCAGGTGATTATTTAAAAGCAACTGCAGAGACTACATCATTTCACTGGTAAATATTTCATTTTGTTTATAAGAGATAAGACCTATTTTTAACATGAACACAATATTGATATCACCTATAAATATTAGCCATTTCTTAAAACCATCTAAAATCCAATCATAGTTCAAATTTCTATGATTATTCCAATGTCTTCTTATTGTTGCTTTGTTCAAATCAGGACCCAAACAAGGTCTACATATTACATTTGTATCTCTCCCATCTTTCTTTTTTAATATATAATAATAATCTATGATAATGAATGTGTAATATGCTAATTAGACCAGATGTCCTTCCAGACGACCTTCTGGATAAAGCTAGGGCTGCGAGGGAAGCCTGGGTCCCAGGTGCCTGCTGGTGGCCAGAGGGAAGCCTGGGTCCTGGGTGCCTGCCGGCAGTTGGAAGGAGGCCCGGGTCGGCTGCCAGAGGGAAGCCAGTGCTGGCAGCTGGGAGAAGAAAGGCCTACCCTTGCACAAATTTCGTGCATCGGGCCTCTTGTCTCTAATATTTTCCCATCCTTTTTTTTCTTGACTAGAGGCCCGGTGCATGAAATTTGTGCATGGAGGGGGGTTCCCTCAGCCCAGCCTGCACCCAATCCAATCGGGGACCCTTCGGGGGGTGTCTGACCGCCAGTTGGGTGCAATCCCTAAGGACTCACCTCTCTGCCTGCCTGATTACCCCTAACTGCCTCTGCCTGCCTGCCTGATTGCCCCTAACTGCCCTCCCCTGCTGGTCTGATTTCACCCCCAACTGCCTCTGCCTGCCTGATCACCCTTAACTGCCCTCCCCTGCTGTCCTGATCTTGCCCCCAACTGCCCTTCCCTGACAGCCGGGTTGCCAAATGCCCTCCCCTGCTGGCCTGATCTTTCCCCCAACGGCCCTCCCCTACCGGCCTGATCTCACCTATAACTGCTCTACCCTGCTGGCCTGATCACCCCTAACTGCCCTCCCCTGCCGGTCTGATCTCACTCCCAACTGCCCTCCCCTGCAGGCCTAATCTCACCCCCAACTGCCCTCCTTTGCTGGCCAATTTGGTTCTGATTGGTCAGTTTCTATGCCAGTCAGCATCTCTGGGCCTATCAACAGGGCCTGATCAGAAAGGCGGGGCTGATCAGCAGCCCTGGTGGAGGCCTGGAGAGAAATGGAGGTGTGGCTGTTGGCCAGGCTGGGAGAGAAAGAGAGGCAAGTTCTGATTAACGGCTGCCACAGAGGCTACGGATCAGACACTGCCTCTCTCTCTGCAGGCCTCTCTCTGGGCCTGATCCGCAGCCCCCTAGGCCCATGGTTGGCAAACTGTGGCTTGCGAGCCACGTGCGGCTCTTTGGCCCCTTGATTGTGGCTCTTCCTAAGCCTTTGGAGTACCCTAATTAAGTTAATAATAATGTACCTACCTATATAGTTTAAGTTTAAAAAATTTGGCCCTCAAAAGAAATTTCAATCGTACTGTTGATATTTGGCTCTGTTGACTAATGAGTTTGCCGACCACTGCCCTAGGCAGTCAGTGCTGGGTCGGACACCAGCAGCAGCTACAGTCAGTGCTGGGTCACCTCGGCAACCTTCGGTCGTAATAGTCGTTAAGACCCTGGCTCTTTATTATATAGACTAGTAGCCCGATGCATGAAATTCGTGCACAGGGGTGGGGGGGATGAGGGGTGGGGCCAGACCCCTCAGCCCGACCTGCACCCTCTGTCATGTTCCGGGACTCCAGCTACTCTGGGCCTAGGCACAGGCCTACAGGTTTAGGGCGGCCTGGCTCCCGAGGTCCCATTTTATCAAGAGAACAAAGTCGGAGTTAGTTACAGCCCTCATCGAACCCAGTACAGTGCATCCGTGCATACACCTGCCTCGTTCATGTGCCTGCTTCGCCCTACTGAATTACTAACATCTTGAGGACATAACTCTGTCTTATCCTGCTTCACGTTCAGTGTCTGGCCTGGTGCCACGGAACTGAGAGGGTTTGCTGAGTGAGTGAATAATGAGTAAGTGAATGAGTGAATGAATGAGCGAGTAAGTGAATGAGCAAGCAGCTACAGGGTGGGAACTTCTGCCGCGTTGCTATGGCGACATGGCAGAAGTTCCCGGCTGCCTGACGCCCACACCGGGAAGTTACCAGCGCCCCTCTCCTGGCTGCATAGTTCCCGCCCTGCTCCCAGCAGTGGCCCGGCACCCCTCTCCAGGCTGCTTAGTTCCTGCTCCCAGCGGCCCGGCGCCCCTCTCCCGGCTGCTTAGTTCCTGCTCCCAGCGGCCCAGCGCCCCTCTCCCAGCTGCTTAGTTCCTGCTCCCAGCGGCCTGGTGCCCCTCTCCTGGCTGCTTAGTTCCTGCTCCCAGCGGCCTGGCGCCCCTCTCCTGGCTGCTTAGTTCGTGCTCCCAGCGGGCCCGGCGCCCCTCTCCCGGCTGCTTAGTCTGTGCTTCCAGTGGCCCGGCGCCCCTCTCCTGACTGCTTAGTTCCTGCTCCCAGCGGCCCGGCGCCCCTCTCCCAGCTGCTTAGCTCCCACCCTGCTCCTGGCGATCCAGGTCCCCAGCCGCTCCTTCAGTAGAGGCCAGGGCAGGTGGGAAACTTGGCTTCCTCCATTGCGGGGGCAACCAAGCCTCCTCCTTGCTCCAGCTCCATGACTGCCAGCCACCATCTTGGTTGGGTTAATTTGCATATAGTTGCTCTGATTGGCTGGAGGGCGTGGCTTTGGGCATAGCAAAGGTATGGTCAATTTGCATGTTTGTCTTTTATTAGATAGGATTGTTACTTGTTGAAGAGACTGGATTATTTATCGTGCAGAATTTCTGGAATTCTGGATTTGGCTGATAGCATCCCTGAGATGAACTTTAATAAGTTCCTGTGTCCCCTGCATGTAATATAATCTGGTAGATCATGGGCCTTGAACAGGTTCAAAATTTGAAAAGCTGTGTACTTCCCATGGCATCGTATCAGCTGCCATGTAAAAACCAGTTGTCTCTCTTTTTATAATCCTATATAAAAAAAGTCTAATATGCAAAGAGAGCGACCAGTGGAACGACCAGTCACTATAACATGCACTGACCACTAGGGGGACAGACATTCAATGCAGGAGCTGTCCCCTGGTGGTCAGTATGCTCTCAGGGGGAGCGCCGCTCAGCCAGAACCCAGGCTCATGGCTGGCGGTGAGGAGTGAGGGGTCCCAGCCTGCAAGAGGGTGCAGGCTGGGCTGAGGGACCCCACCCCCCAGTGCACGAAAGTCGTGCACCGGGCCTCTAGTGTTACATATAATCAGTGGGATCAGGTGTTGTCAGCTGAATGCATGTATTGTGATATTCCCTATCTATGTTTTACCTGAAGATATTAGTAGCCAATGATGATCATTTTCTAATCATAGTAATTTAATTAATAATGGTTTCAAGCTTAGTTAGTCTAATTCTGCAATACATTTTCATTTATTAGTAGACTTCTATAATGAAATTCCTCTCAACAATAATTTCATTACTTTGAAATAGGGTTGTATGGGAAGAATAAGGTAAATACATGATTCTTTTCTTGAGCCAGTACAAAGAGTGATGACTTTATCCCCTAGCTCCCTCCCAGTGTAGTTTTGCAATGGATTTTTTTAGTTTGCTTTGTATCCTTATGACTCTTGGCTTTTGAACATATTTGATGCTTTTTAATCATAGAAGTTTTTCTTCTAAAACTGTTCCATCTTTGACAAATGGCAGTCCCTTCAAATTTAATCCTGTTTCTTCTGACATGACCACAGTAATCTTTAATTCTCCTGCTTTCTGCCATAAGATGGTTCCAGATTTATCTCTTACATTTCCTGTCCTAGATACTGAATTAACCATTTCTTCAAAGAGCCTGGCTCCTACTAGCAAGGAGAAATATAAGTATAAAAACTGTTTAGGAAAGCAATTTATAAATAGGTATCTTGTTTGACCACTCTGTGATTTTTTCTACAGAAATACCTAACATCTAAGGAGGCGCTGTTCAATATTATTAAAGAATACAGTCTATAAGAGCAAAAAATTAGGAGAAGAAACCTTAATGACTATGAAAAGTGGAGTAATTAAATAAATTATAAGAAAACTACTCTATAGAATATATGGCTGATGTTAAAAGAATAAAGAAAGATTGACATGTACTTTAACAGCAAGATCCAAGTAGAATGTCTAGGGCTGAAAAACACAATATCTGAAATGAAAAATTTACTGAATGGGGTTAAAAGCAGATTATATAATGCAGAAAAATTTACCAGTCAATTTAAATATCTGCCATAAATAATGAACACATACCAAAAAATGAGGAATAGAGCATTAGTGAACTATGAGATAATATCAAATAGTCAAACATGTAAGCGAAGTCCCAGAGGAGAAGAGAAAGAACAGAAAAGATTAAAAGAAGAGAACTAGAGCCCTAACTGGTTTGGCTCAGTGGACAGAGCGTCAGCCTGCGGACTCAAGGGTCCCAGGTTCAATTCCGGTCAAGGGCCTGTACCTTGGTTGCGGGTACATCCTCAGTAGGGAGTGTGCCAGGAGGCAGCTGAATTGATGTTTCTCTC